AAGTTTGTATATATATATATATATATATATATATATATATATGTATATGTATGTGTACAATATTTTGTTTTATTTATATTCATAAGAGAAGCCGTTTAAAATTCGTGTTTATTTTTTTCAGGTTGTATTATAAACCAGGTACGAGTATAAATGGTTACCCTAAATTAATAGTTGGAGATGGCGATGGAACGGTAAATATAAGGAGTTTGGAAGCATGCACACTTTGGCAGAAATCACAAGTACAAAAAATTTATAATCAAAGTTTTCCTGGAGTAGATCATACTGAGATCTTAAGAAATCGTGATGTTTTGACATATATTAAGGCAGTTTTAAAAGTATAATATAATTTTTATTAGTAATTTTTAATGAAATGCAAAAGAATGACAAGCAGAATTTAATGACATCACTATATTCTTGTAACATTTTTTGCTCTTACTACCGACGAGATAATAGTATTTCGTCCGTGCTAATCTTAATGCGAATATTAAAACTTCAATATAAAATGATTTTAAGATTAAAAGATTTCACTAATTTCATGAAGTAAATTAATTTCTTGATAATTTTAATTTAAAAATATGACAACGTAATTGAAAATATATTTTTATTAACTACATTGTTCATTAAAATATATCATTACATAACATAGCAGCAAATATCAATTGGGAGTATTATAAATTGTAGTTACAAAAAACATTTTCTAAATGTCAATACTTCCACTCATTTACTGGCATATAATGCTCTCAGCCTATAAATATAATACTTTTATCTCCTCCTTATGTGTACATATTTATATATTCAGTATATATTATCAATTTTTATTGCATGATCTCACATGAAACAAAGAGTGATCAGATTAACATGACTAGCGATATATAGTAATAATATGCTATATATAAAGTGTTTCTATATGATATACTAACATATTTTTTTAGTCGCTGATGCAGCACAATTAGAATAACAATGAAATCCAAGTTTCTTAAGTTACTAGTCATAAATTGATTATATTATAAATATATATCGATGTTATATTTACACTGATTCATAATTGTGATGAATACTCATAAAATACTAAAGAAATTTAATGTAAAAAACATTCTCTTCAGAAATCTGGAGACATGATAATGTCTCGGCATCAAGCAAAGTAGTGACATTACCGTGTTCCTTTACGCGAACCGGCGATATTAATAAACTAATTAATTTGATTCTAAAATGTTTATAACTTTAAAATTTTCTTATTGTAATACAATATGTATATACAATAACTTGTATTATATAAATAAGTCCATATTTTAGTAAATATATATGGATTTATAATAAACTTTTGTAGAAATTTAATGTGCTGATAAAAATATATTTATTAGCACATTAAATTTCTACAAAATTACATTCATATAAAATGATGAAAAATAATAAAATATTCTACATAAAATGTAAGCAATCGATATCATATTCTTTTGATATCTAAAGCCATCAAATCTGATAAACTAGACAATACATAACTACATATATATATTTCTAAGATAAAACAGTATATTATAAAGAAGATGATAATAAACGAATGTTGTTAAAAAATAAAATGTTTTTATTATTGATCACATAATGGTTAACTACCATAATTTTTCTTTGCGAATATAATTATAGATAAAATTGTTCCTAATCACAGATCATAACAACGTAATTATAATAAATATTACGAAACATGTTTATATACATTTTATCTATTTGATATCCCATTTAGATCCTTTAGCAATTTTGAATATTTGAAAATGTTACTTTTTTCTAGAAATTTTCATATATTTATAATTTTTTAACATATAGTAAAATGTTCATGTTCACTTCCAGAACACAGCATAAAGGCAGCATAGGAATGCACAAGATTCTGACTCATGTGTCCTAGAACAGATTTTTGCTCAAATACTGACAACTAAACTTTTCGATTATTCGTAACAACATATACTCCTTGCTTCATTTCTTTGGCGTTTGCTTTTATACAATTTTTAAATCTTGTTTCAAATTGCAGCATGTATTGAAAAAGTGGAAGGTTTCTGTTTTAGAAAATATGTAAAAATTCTAGTTTTTTTACAACAAATAATATCTCTTAATGTCAGTTAAGCCCTGTCGAGGATCTTATGAAAGCATATATTCCCAAAGCTAAAATAGTTACAACAGTAATGGTTTTATAACTTCTAATACGATAAGATATCCTTGGCGTTGCCTGAACAATTGTTAATTTTCGTTGCCTTTCTCTCTCTTGTCGACTTGCTTCTGCCCTTGCCTTCCATTCTTGCTCTTTAATTTTTCTCTTATGATCATAATCTCTGACATCATTACTGATAGATTCAGGAGGATATTGTCGATATAGATTCTTTGCTTCTACTAAAAGGATTTCAAATGGCAAGTCGTCAGGTAACTGAAAATATAAATTTGAAATAATTCTATTGTTTTTCTTCGATTCTTCAGAGCCAATTATTTTCTTTTATTATACTTACCGTACATAATACTTTATGTGTGTGTCCCATATCGGGCGTAGTATTAAAAATTTCTGTAGCTCTGTGTGCCACAATTACTGTACTTAAATAAAGAGGCATAAGTGGGGGACTACCCAGGAAAAAATCAAATAATCTATGTAACAATTTTCGGTTTTCTGCAAACTTATGTGCATACCATGTTGTGTATTCAGCCAATGCAAAGTGTGGAAACAATTCTACACTAGAGTAAAAAGGAACATTGCAATTAGTAATGAGAATAAATATTAATACCAGTAAGTTTATGAAATAAAAATTAATTAAAATAAAAAAATATAAGTTATAAATAATTTATATGTATAGAATATTATTAAATTAATATAGAATAGAAGAATTTATATTTATTAATTTAATTAGAATAAACATAAAAATAAAAAGTTTAAAATATGTTCTTAATGGATAAGAAAGGACTAACTTTTCTAAATGTTCCAAAAGCGTAGGATGTACTCTTTCCAGCAATGCAAATATAAAGAATAACTCTTGATTCACTTTTTCCATAGTTTTTTCCATGAATCTTTCCAGGAATTCTAGCGAGATACTTTCAAGCACATACAAGC